TACCAAATGAGCAATTCCCAGCCTCTAAAGTTATTGGTATAGTTTTGTTTTTCCTTTTTATCATTTTGGCGTAGTACTGAGGATTGAATTCAGTTTTGTGCATGCTAGGGAAGCCTACCAACTACCAAATGAACTACACCCCCAGCCCTTCCCCCTCTTAAAAATTATAGGGTCTGAGGGACTGGAGAGATGGCTCAGCAGTTAAGAGCACTGGCTGCTCTTCCAGAGGACCTGGGTTTGGGTCCCAGCACCCACATGGCAACTAACAACTGTCCATAACTTCAGTTCCAGGGGATCTGATGCCCTCTTCTGGCCTCTGGGCATTGCAAGACATGGGTGCACTTAACAGACATTCAGGCAAAATATTCATACACATAAAATAAAAAAGGAGGAGGAGGAAGAGGAAAAAGAGGAGGGGGGGAGGAAGAGGAGAAAATTTACATATATATATGGTCAGGTGTTGACAGAATGGCTCAGCAGGTAAAGGTGCTTGCTGCTGTGCCTGGAGACCCAAATTCAATCCCCAGAGCCCACATGGTGGAGGGAGAGAATTGATTCCCATAGGTTGTACACACACACACACACACACACACACACACACACACACACACAAATATATAAAACAGGTGATTTTGTTTTGTTTTAGAAAACAGGGTCTCAGTCTGCAGCCCAAGTTGGCCTGAAACTCAGTATGCCCTTGAACTTGTGGCAGTCCTCTTGCCTCTCAAGTCCTGAGATTATGGGAATGAGCACCACACCCAGCTTCTACTTCAGCTTCCTTCCTTTCCTTCCTTCCTTCCTTCCTTCCTTCCTTCCTTCCTTCCTTCTCTGAGACAGGGTCCACTTGTAGCCTCAGCTGGCTTGGAACTTGCTGTGTAGACCAGGCCTCACTCTCACAAAGATCCACCTGCCTCTGCCTCCTGAGTTCTGGGACTAAAGGCATGTGCCACCACACCCAGCTTATTTAAATTTTATTTTTATTTTATGTGTATGTATGTATGTATGCTTGCTTGTATGTATGTAAGTGCACCACATTCCTGCCATCTCTTCCTTCCTACCTCAGTTTTTTTAATTATGCTGCAGTATTTATAACAACTTCTCTTTATTTACTTGTTGCCTCATCTCCGTATCTCCCCACTAAAATGTAAGGTCCATAACGAAAGAGTCTGCCATGCCTGTCTCACTACTGTATTCCTAAAACAGCTCTTGGCAAATAACAGACACTCAAACAACTTGCTAGATGAGGCTAAGAATATAGCACAGTTGGTAGAATTATTGCCTAGAATGCATGCAGTCCTCTGTCTGATCCCCATCACCATATAGATTTCTGTAGCCCATCACCATATAGATTTCTGTAGCCCAGCACTGGGGAGGTGAAGGCCAGAGGATCAGATGTTCAAGCTTACCTTTGGCTACATAGTGAGTTGGAGGCCAACCTGAGCCTCAAACTTACATGAGACTTTGTCTCGAAAAAATTGTTAGATAGACTTTGCTATTTTTAAAATTGTGTGTGTGTGTGTGTGTGCGCGTGCGTGCGCGCACATAAGTGCAGGTGCCTGTGGAGGAGGCTTCAGATTCCCCAAGAACTGGAGTTACAGGCAGTTATGAGTCACTCAACATAGTTGCTGAGAATTGGTCCTCTGGAAGAACAACTGCTCTTAACCACTGAGCCATCTCTCCAGCCTGGATGGAGTTTTAATAGTTAAAAAAGGAAATAAATCCCAGCTCTTGGGAGGCAGAGGCAGGCAGATCTCTGTGAATTCAAGGCCAGCCTGGTCTATGTAGTGAGTTCTAGGCCAGCTGGGGGTACAGGGTGACCCTTTCTCAAAAAGACCAAAAAAAACCCCCACAAAGCTGGAAATAATCTGAACACTATATAATATTCAGTGGTTGTAAAAGACAGAATGATATCCAAGATGAGTTATTGTAAGATGTGATAGATAAAAGTTTAATTCTTTCACATAATTAATACTATATGCATAAAAAATAGGTCCTAGCATCATCATCATCCCCATTTGAGATGAAGAAATTGGTTCAGAGACATTAGGTACACAGGGTCACACAGCAGGCCCATCATATATACATACATACTTGCATATATACATATGTATATGTGTGTATATATATATATACATATATATATATATATATATAGAGAGAGAGAGAGAGAGAGAGAGGGAGAGAAAGAGGGAGACTAAGACTCAATATTAACTCAGGCTCGCCTTGAAATTTCAATCCTGCCTCACTCAGCCTCCCATGTTTGGAGATTACAGGCATGCACTACCACATCCAGTGGTGATAGGAATTGAACACAGAGCCTTGTGCATGCTAGGCAAGCACTCTACCAACTGAGCTACGTCTCCAACCCCTCCTTGTGTAATAACAAAGAAGAACATGATGATAAAGATGATGAACAAGAAAACAAAATGAAATTAAGGGTAACAGAGTCCAGGATCCACTTTTTCTGCAAAAAGTGCTATGCAAATTTAGCTCTGAGCTACCTGTAAAATCAAGGCAAAGAGAAAAACGTAGTTATGAGGCCCTTGGTGCTTGAAAAATTAAAGGACTGAACTCTATTGCTCGAGTTTGAGGGAACTTCACCGAGTTCATAAATACAGCAGTGATCAGCAGGTGGTCAACAGTTTCAATAACATACCAGTATACTTAGGTAGCTGTTGTTCATGCTGTTCAGTGCCAAATGGCTGTTCAGTGAAAGCAGTTTCACAAAGAACTGAATTTCAACATTTTGGACATCAACTTTGGTGATGTGTCTACAATTGTAGATAAAATTGGATAGCCCTAATCCTCCAGCAAACTCCTGCAGACCTCAACCTGTTAAGAATTTAGCACTTGAGAGGCAAGTGGATCTCTGTGAGTTCAAGGCCAGCCTAGCCTACATAGCAAGTTTCAGGCCAGCTGGAGCTACTGGGAGACCCTATCTTAGAAAGAATTTAAAGCTGGGCCTGGCAGTTCGTGCCTGTAATCCCAGCACTTGGGAGGGAGAGGCAGGAGGTGCTAGGGTATGGGAAGAGGAGAGATATAGGTGGATCCCTGGGGCTCTACCCATTGGCAAAAAGGTGGGAGCCAATGAGATGACTCATCGGGTAAAGGTTTGTCCCAAGTCTGATAGGCTGAGATCCATCCTTGGGATCCACATGGTAGAAGGAAAGAACCTACTCCTCAAAGTTATCCTCTGACCTCTATACATTTACCATGCACCTGTGTGTCCCCAAAAGGTGGACAGTTTCTGTGGAAAGACACCTGAGGTTAATCTCTGGCCTATGTACACACACACACACACACACACACTTGAACTGGCACATGTGTACCTGTGCACACATAGGAACATGGGTGCATGTGCCTCAGTAGTGAGTTGAAGGGAAGATAGGGAAATTTTTTTTTTTTTTTGGTCTTTTTGAGGCAGGGTCTCCCAGTAGCTCCAGCTGGCCTGGAACTCTCTATGTAGACCAGGCTGGCCTCAATCTCACAGAGATCTGCGAAGCTGGGATTAAAGGTATGTGCCACCATGCCCAGTGAAGATATTATGTAACTGAATCAACATTTGAGCATTATGAAATATTATGAAATGGGGGTGGAGAGATGATGGCTCAGCAGTTAAGAGCACTTACTGCTCTTCCAGAGAACCTAGAATCAGTTTTCAGCACCCACATGGCCGCTAACAATCATCTATGACTTCATTTCCAGGGGATCTGACACCCTTTTCTGGTCTCTGAAGGCACTGCACACACATGGTGCACTTACATAAAATAAATAAAAATTTTTAAAGAAATATTATGCCAGGTGTGGTGGCACATGCCTTTAATCCCAGAACTGAGGAGGCAGAGACAGCTGGATCTCTGTGAGATTGAGGCCAGCCTGGTCTACATAACAAGTTCCAGTTCATCTGGGGCTACATGGAGACCCTGTCTCAAAAAAGAGGGATGGGTGATGGAGAGATGGCTTAGTGGTTAAGAGCACTGGCTGCTCTTGTGGAGGACCCAGGACCCAGGTTCAGTTCCCAGCACCCACATGGTGGCTAACAATCTTTGGTAACTCCAGTTCCAGGTAATCCAGTGCCCTCTTCTGGCCTCCACTGGCATGCACACATGGGTGCGCTTACATACTAACAGGCAAAACACTCATACACATAAAATTTTAAAAAGAACTGGGATTAAAAAATGTCATTCCTCTTAACATCCAGGTAAAATTTTTTTTTTTTTTAAGACAGGGTCTCCCTTTAGCCCCAGCTGGCTCACTATGTAGACCAGTCTGGCCTTGAACTCAGAGATCTGCCTGCTTCTGCCTCCTGAATGAGTGCTGGGAATAAAGGCATGTGTCACCTTGTCCTACCCCAGGTAGGCTAGTTTTATGTGTTTTACAGATAGCTGAGAGGCTCAGAGAGACTAACAATACACGGTTAGAAAATGTCAGAGGCAGCTCTAAAATTAGATCTCGGGTGCCCTTTACTAGTCACTCCCACACTCCAAAAACACAGGCAAGACTAGCAGACTGTGTTGGACTGCACTGTACAGAGGAGCCGTTGAGGAGCAGGCCCAGGTGTCAGGATACACACTTCTCCAGACAGCCAATCTTATATTACACACACACGCACACACACACACGCCTCACATCTGTGTAAAGACTCCCATTACACAGACTGCAAAATACCCATTTCCAAACAGAAAAATGATCTCACAGTGAAAACAAAACTTCACTCCTTTATTCACTTTTTATTGTGTATGAGTGTAACTCCTACATCTATGTAAGTGCACTCGTGTCGTGCAATGCACGTACTGCTGGAGTTACAATTGCTAGCAGCCAGCATGGGTGCTGGGAATTGAACCCCGGTTCTCTGCAGGGGCAGCCAGTGCTCTTAACCGCAGAGCCACCTCTCCAGGTTCTTATTCACTTTTCCTTTTTTTTTTTTTTCGGTCTTTTTGAGACAGAGTCTCCCTAAAGCCCCAGCTGGCCTGGAACTCACCAAGTAGATCAGGCTGGCCTTGTACTCACAGAGATCCGTCTGCCTCTGCCTTCCAAGTGCTGGGATTAAAGGCGTGCCCCACCACGCCCGGCCTTATTCAGTTTTCTTAACAAGCTGGGGATTGCTGTGGCTCCCATAGCTTTGGGGAGAGGGATGCTCTGCTACAAAGAAAGGAAGAAGGAAAGCTGAGGCTTATTATACACAGGCCTCTTAGGGGTAGCCTAAGAGCTGCTTTCACTCCAGGACCATCTGGAAAGGAGAGGGATATCTCCCTCGCCCTTCCGCAGGGTCCATCAATAAAGCAAGAGAAACCAAACTGGGAGGATTGAATGGGGGGTGGGGGCAGCTGGGTCCTGAGGAGAAAATGCAAAAGCCAGATGAGCAGGCGCCGGGTTCAAGGGCACCAGCGCCACCTCCTAGCGGTCGCCTGGGACGCATGGAAGCTGCGTGCTCAGCTCCGACCTTTCTTCTTGGCACCGCCTCGCTGCGCGGCCTTTGGAGCCGCGGGGCCATCCGGGCCGTCACCTCCGCTCTCTTGCTCGCGCACCACGCGCCGCGCCACGCGGTACTCGGGTTCACCCACGCGCGGCGCGGCCTGCAGCAGGAACTCGCCACGACGCTGGGTGACGCGCACATCGGTGCGTGGGTACGTGCCGTACACGCGCCGCAGCTCCCGGAGCAGGAAGTCGGGCAGCTGCAGCCGGGGCCCTAGCGTGCGTTCCACGCGGCCCCAGCGCAGCTCTGCCTGCATGCTGCTGCCCTCTGGCCATGGCGCCCAGCGGTTGGCCTCCGGCGCCAGCTGCAGCCGCCCGGGGGTGACCTGCGAACTGAAGGCCGCGGCGCGGGGCGGAGGGAAGGACCACCAGGGCGGCACGGTGGCCGGGGCTAGGGCCACGCCCGCGCCATAGAAGCAGTGGAATTCTCTTCCGGCCCCCCACTCTCCAGTGCTCAGGCTGGCTGAACGGCTGCAGAAGTTGTGGGTCTGGATGGGCGGCAGCAGTAGAGGGGCGGGCCAGATGCCATCCCTTCGCGGCAGGCAGACGAAAGAGTACATGGTCTGAACCGCAGGCTGAGGGCATTTTTACTCAAGCCTCATCGTGGTGGTGACCTGTGATGGAGGGGTGTGTGAATACATAATTCTTAATATCATCTGTCGCTGGGCTCTAGGGTCTGGTTTATGGTTAGAGTTTCTTAGGAGTGCCTCATGGCTTTGGGACGCTTTTCCTAAGTCAGGCGTTCAAGCTCCGCACCTCCTCACCTGTTGTTCTAGGGCTGGCACAAACCTTAGGCATCAAGGGCTGCGGGCTATAGGTCAGGTGGTAGTGTTTACTTAACATGCACAAAACCGTGGGTTCGATCCCCAGCACCTTATAAACCAGGTGTAGTGGCTCATCCCTGTAATCTTCAGCACTCCAGAGGCAGAGACAAGAAGATCCAAAGTTCAAAGCCCTCCTATGTTTGAGGCAGCCTAGGCTACAGAGAGACCCTGTCTCAAAACAAACCCTCAAGCATCCAGCTTTTTCCACTCCCTTAGCCCCTGGCATGTTCTTTCCAGTGACTAACTGTCCACTCACTTGCCTCTTTCAGCCTGGTGGGGTTAGTCGCCAGCCCTTGGGGGAATGGAGCGTCTCTCCACAGCTCTTCACAGTTGAGGTTTTGTTCCCTCCATGCCCTGTCTCAGCCACACCTCCTTGTTACCAGGCAAAGGGAAACACCTTGAGCTGGCTAGGAGCTGGCCAGTCTAAATCTAGGTGAGCCTAGAACATAGTGACTCCAAGCTACAGACAGTGGCTGAACTCTCAGGTGCACTCCCCAGAACATCATTAAACACTTCCCAACTCTTTCCAATCAAGTTAGCTCCTTATCACCAGACCCCAGACACTCAGCCCTTCCAGATAGGATGGGTTCTGTAAACTAATATTGGCGTGAAGCTCTTGCACATTTGGCAATGAGTCTGTTTGCATGTGAACATCCAGTGCCCTTTATATGAACCCTAGTATGGGTATACCCACTTTAGGGCTGGGGTTGTAGCTCAGTTGGTAGAGTGCTTGCCTTCCATGCACAAGGCCCTTGAGTTCCTTGAGGCTCTTGGTTTGATCCCTAGCATTGCACAAAACAGGGCAAGTGTGTAATCTCAGCACTCAGGAGGTGGAGGCAGGAGGATTAGAGGTTCAGTCAGAAGTTTATAGAGTGCTTGCTGTTCTTCCAGAGGGCCTAAGTTTGGTTCCCAGCCCAACTCACAACCATCTGTAAATCCAGGTATAGGGATTCTTTAATTTTTATTTTATGTGTATGAGTGTATTGCCTGCATGTGTGTAAGTGCAACGGTGTCATGCAGTGCTTATGGAAGTCAGAAGAGAATGTTGGAACCCCTGGAGCTGGAGTAACGGACAGTTTTTAGCAGCCATGTAGGTGTTGGGAATTGAACCCAGGTCCTCTACAAGAGCAGCCAGTGCTTCTAACTGCTGACCCATCTCTCCAGCCCCCAGCTCCTAGGGATTCTGATGCCCTCCTCTGGCCTCCAAGGACACACATACATGGTACACACACACAAATAAGTCTTTAATATCCTCACTTTACAATGCAAGAAACTATAGATACACAATGGACTGGAGATTGGGCTTAGTGGTAGGGTGTCTAGCATGTGCTAGGTCCTGGGTTTAATCCCCAATACTAGAGAAGAGAATTACTATCTCCCAGCTTCCAGGTTGCCATGCTGACACACTATTGTATAGATTCAAGCAGCATCACCAGCAGCTCACACAGGTTCATGGTATCCTTCAGAGCCCAGTCTGACATGCTCTGGGAACAGCTCCCACACTCACCCTGGTAGGGTCATATTAGGCTTGACTGAGCTGCTAATTCCAATTTTAAATTGTGCTAGTGACCTAGCTAGGACAGCTGCAGAGTCAGGCTCTAGTTAAAGAAGAGAGCTCTAGCTAGGGTATCATTTGGAATCTACCTAACAACCTCTACCTCAAGCTCCAGGAGAGAGCCTTACCCTTTAATGTCTGGTCCCAGGACATGGTAGCCTCTGCTGTGGAGGACATAATAAAATATAGTCCACAGGTATTTGTCATCTCATTCTTGGGAACCTGGGAATATGTTATGTTACATGGCAAGGGGAAATTAGGCGGTGGATGGTGTTAAGGTTGTTAATTAGCATAACTTAAAATAGTATCCTGGATTATATGGTGGATTCAGGGTAATCACAGGGACTTCAAACGTGGAAGGGAGAGGTCAGAGCCATTTTGACGCCATCCAGGGAAAGACTTGACCAGCCATTGCTGGTTTTGTACAGGGAGAGGGTTCTCCAGATGCTGGGAAGGGTGAGACAATGGATTCAACCACAGGAGCCTACAGAGGGAAACACAGTCCTGCCAACACCTTCATTTTAGCTAGTGGGACCGATTTCACACTCTATCCTCCAGAAGTGTAAGATAGTAAGTTGTTTTAAGCCTTTGTATTTTTCGAAGTTCCAGTAGGATACCTCTTGACTCCTATTTATGTAACTTTGCTCCTCTCCTAAAATACCAACACTTAACCAGGTGTGGTGGCACATGCCTTTAGTCCCAGCACTTGGGAGGCAGAGGCAGGCAGATCTCTGAGTTCAAGGCCAGCCTGGTCTACACAGTGAGTTCCAGGACAGCTGGAGCTACAGGGAGACCCTGTCTCAAAAAGACAAAAAAAAAAAAAAAAAAAAAAAAAAAAAACCAAACCCAAAACCCAACACCTGAGGAATGTCCAAGGTTATATCCATGGGTTGACTTCACCCCCAGCTTGGAAATAAGTGAAAGGCCTCATAGACAGGTCAGTTTTCCACCTGTTCCTGCTTCCTGTGGGGATCCAGTCTCAGTTGGGGAGTGGGATACATGTTAGACCAAACCCAAACTGAGTGCATAACACAAACTCAGTAAACAAGGCTGCCACAGCTCAATGTACATAATAGACTAGCAGCTCCCAACAGAAGGTAAAGAATCCACATTTAATATTGGTCCCTACATGCTTGCTGGAGACCTTTACTGGCCTGGGAAATTTTCAGTCAAAATGAGGGAAATAGAGATCAAACTGAGTCTCCCAGTATTTATGCACCCTGATTCTAGTAATAGCCCCCTATTTTTGTAATCTCACTGTATTCTCAATAAAATGATTCTCGGGGAGGTGACTGTTCCATCCTTAAGTTTTGGACGATTTAGGAGTAAGGCAATTGGCACTGCCATCCATCTGGCCAGAGTAATTAGTTTGGACTAGCCAAGTGGGCCACTGGCAAGTCAAACTCAGGACTTTGTTCTTTTTTTTAAAAAAGAAAATTTTATAGGCCAGGCATCATGGGGCAGGCCTTTAATCCTGGCACTCAGGAGGCAGAGGCAGGTGGATCTGAGTTCAAGGCCAGCCTGGTCTACTTTGTGAGTTCCAGGTCAGCTGGGGCTACAGGGAGACCTTGTCTGAAAAAGACCAAAACCCCAATTTTATTTATTCTTATTTTATGTATATGAGTGTATTACCTGCATGTAGGTAGGTGCACCCATGTTGTGCAATGTCTATGGGGTAAGAAGAGGGCGTCATGGCTCCTGGAACTGGAGATTGTTAGCCACCATGTGGGTGCTGGGAATTGAACCCAGGTCTTCTGCAAGAGCAGCCAGTGCTCAGCTTAACTGCTGAGCCATTTCTCTAGCCCCAGGATTTTCTTATTTTTTCTAGTAGAAACACTTTCTTTCCCCCAGGACAGAACTCTGACAGAATTGCAGTCTGGATGGGGTGAAGGCTTCACTGAATGCGGAGACAAGAAAAAAATGGAGCCAAGAGTCAGAAAGAAATTACATTTTGGGGCACTGGAGAGATGGCTCAGCAGTTAAGAGTACTGACTGCTCTTGCAGAGGCCCCAGGTTTGGTTCCCAGCAACCACGTCATGGCTAACAACCATCCGTAACTCCAGTTCCAGGGGATCCGATGCCTTCTTTTGACTTCCATGGGTATTGCATGACATGGGTGCACATACATACATGCAGACAATACATTCATAAAATAAAAAAATAATTTTTAAAAATGGCATTTTGATGATAGTGTTTGATGGCCTTTGCAGTTACCTAGAACAATAAATTTCTTCTTAAGCTGGTTTGAGTGTTTGTTTTTCCTATCAGTGATACACACTTGTGTGTCCCCCACCCACACCCCCAGCATCTTACAAAACACTTGAAAATAAAGCAACCTTGTAGTTTTTGATCAGGGAACCTCTCAGATTAGAACGAGTTCTCAGAGCGCAGAATGTGCTGGAGCCTAGGACATAGGCAGAGAGAATTTTAAGGATACCGTGTATCTTTTGTCTCGGGGACTGAAGGAGTTAAGCTGGCCATTTGGCCTCCAGATATACCTTACATTCCCCACCCAGTTGCTTCAGCTTGGCAACCAAGAAGAGAAATTAGAGAAAATCACACAGCACCACCCTAGTGCTGACATAAAATAGCAACTGATTGCCTTGTCTACAAAATCAGAAGTCTGAGGAGCCTCCGCAGTGTAACCATGGAGCATTAAATGCAACATGAAGGGCCCAAGGTCTTTTCTGCTGGGTCACTTCCAGAACTGGTTTTGTGTCAGCCCTCCCCATCCCACTGTTTCTCCACTGGATTCTCAAGGATGGTTAAAAGAAAGACTCAGGGTTTACTTTGAAATGGAAGTATACACTGGCCAGGAGTAAAGGATGGAAAGAAATGGCAAGGCAAAGGGGAAATTGCTTTAGTAAATTTACAAAAAGCTGATGCTGAATTTTGGCCCTCCAGTTGCATAGCCAGGAAAGCATCACTGAAGATGAGGAGTGGGAACGGGAGAGAAATGATACCTTCTAGTCAGGAGGGCATTCTGGAGCAGGAGGTGTTTTAGCAATTGCTTAAGTCTAGGAGAGAGAAATGGGCTGACTTATGCATGATGATTGAGCTGGGCATGATTGCAGCTATCTTGAGTTAGAACTATCATGATTGTCCTACCTAGAGGAATCCTAGTCAGTTTTTCCTGAATAGTTTCCCGACAAAGCAGACACAGACACAAATGATTAGAATGGTATGTGGAACTTTGCAATCAGGTCCTGGTGTCAGGAATGTGCTGTACTCCGATGCCAGCTAAAGATAAGCCAGAGACATTCTGACTAGGATGAAGGTACTCTTGTCCTCACCAATATACTGCCCCTCCTGACCAAATTGCAGGGGGTCCAATGGTCTTAGTACCCCCCACCCCCATGTCAGTAAGTACTGGAACAGATTTCACTCTGTGCAATCTTGGATCTCTCTGCTTCTCTTTCTTCTATCTCCAGGTACCTGTGCTCCTTGGGGCAAGTCCTCATATACTGGGATGGGGTTATTCCAAAACAGGGTGACAGAGAAGGTGAGAATAGGGTCTGAAGGGTAGAGATTGGGGAAAGGAGGGAGGTGAGACAGGCTGGTAGATTATGGGTGCTGGGACAGTGTTTGTGGGGTCCCTGAGGGTTCTCCAGGACTGGTTGAACAGGCTTCTGTGGGACTATTTGCTGTGGGTGAGCCCTTTGCTATGTTGTCACAAAGAAAGGACAGTGTTCGTTTCAGGAAAACTGGCAGCAACAAAAAGGTGTAAGAGTCTCAGTCTCTTTCTTTCTCCCCCTACCTCCCCCTCCCTGCTTAAGGAAGAGTCTTATGTAACCCCTGGAACCTCACTATGTAGCCAAAGATGACCTTCGACTCCTGATCTTAATGCCTTTGACTCCTAAGCACTATGATTACAGGTGTGTACCACCATGCCCAGTTTATCCTGTGCTGGAGATGAACCAAGGCATCATGGGTAGTAGGTAAATACTTTGTCAAACATTCTCAGCCCCCTGCTTTTTACTTTTTCTCATTGGATGCCCACAAAATCTCTGTAAACCATGAAAGAGATTAACAAAAAGGAGTCTGTCATACTTTGTTCTTCATTACTGTGACAAAATACTCTGACCACTACCAACTTGGGGAGGAAAGGGTTTATTTAGCTTACATATCCCAGGTCACAGTTCATCCGGGAGCCCAAGGTAGGACAAGGCAGGAACCTGGAGGCAGGAGCTGGAGCACAGGCCATGGAGGAACGCTGTTTACTGGCTTGCTCCCCTGGCCCCTGCTCAGCCTGTTTTCTCATATAACACAGGCCCATCTGCCCAGGGGTGGCACCACTCACAGTGGGCTGGGCCCTCCCACATCACTCATCAAGAAGATGCCCCTCAGACATGGCCACAGGCCAGTCTAATAGAGGCAATTCCCCAACTGAGGTGCCCTCAACCCAGGTGTGTCAAGTTGACACTAAAGCTAGCCAACACAGAGTCTAAGACAAAAATTGTGTTTCTTGCCCTATATATCAGGGTAGAGAAGCTGAGCAGGACTGTAGTGTGTCCAGTTTGAGTGCTTAGAAACTTTCCTAGGCTTACAGACCAGTTCAGAGAAGTCCTCCAGAGACTAGACTGAGCCATACAAACTTGACTTTAAGGGCCTTGGCAAGGGCAGAAGAGGAAAGACTCCATTGGGACTCAGGAGTGGTAAAGTCCAGCTTGGCTGGGCATCTGCTTGTTGTGTAAAAGTCATTGGACCTCTCTGAAGTTTGGGGTTTTTTTCACCTGTAAATGGGAATAACAGCATCTACTTCCTAGGTTTGAACAGGAACATGTACATGGAACAGTGCATTAATTATGCAAAATTCATAGTAGGGGGCTCAGTTCTCCTTATATTTTAGTACTTTGTGTGTCTATGGTACTGAGAATTGAACCCAGGGCCTCATACATGCTGGGCAAGTGCTCTACAGCTGAGCTATACCCAGCCCTCTTTTTTTTTTTTTTTTTTTTTTTTTTTTTTTTTTTTTTGGTCTTTTTGAGACAGGGTCTCCCTGTAGGCCCAGCTGTCCTGGAACTCACTATGTAGACCAGGCTGGCCTTGAACTCACAGAGATCCGCCTGTACCACCGGGTATGACTACTTCTTCCTCCTCCTAGTACTACTATTATTATTTTTAGTAGTAGTAGTAGCAGTAGTAGTAGTAGTAGTAGTAGTAGTAGTAGTATGAGGTTGGGCTGCACGGCTGAGTTGATGGACCAGTGCCTCGTCTCACCTCCCCTGTCCTGGGCTCCTGGGATCTGATTCTCCATGCTCACAGCTCAACTTGACTTTTCTGCTCTTCCGTGGCCCACAATCCAGCGTTAGGGGATCCCGGGTCATGTTGCTGCCACTTTCATATCTGCCTCAGCTGAGGGCAGTGCTGAGGCGTCATCCTCAGTATTATCCAAGGAACAGAGACGTGGAAAGAGAAGGTCCCGAAAAGAAACTTGAGTTGAAATAACAGTAAGCCTTCGTGGAAGTGAAAAGAGATAAGTCGGTCAGGAATCCAGGCAACCTGTTTGCTCCTGTCCCTTTTCTTTTGCAAGGGGCGAGAGCCCACGACAAACATGGCAGCGGCAGCCTCAGATACGGTCACCTGCTGGAGCCACGATCAGGAGAGCCGCAGAGCCAATCGCTGGGCGGGGGCGGAGGGAGAGACTGGAGGAGCCAGGGCTACTTGCGCGCAGGCGCACTGGCTTGCACCTGGCTCCCGGCAGCCGTGGAATTAAGCATCGCCTGCCAGGATTGCGGTGAGCTGCTGACCGCTGGCCCCTGCGCGTGGGCAGGTGGCGGCCGGACTGACACAAACCACAAGCCCGAGTGGGGCGGGGATGCTTTCCGGTGTGGGGATCCTAGGAACTGTTTGCGGGGGTCCTTGAGACGATCAGGTTGTGAGTTGGGAGATTCTGGGGTCAGGAGGGATTGAATTCAAGGAGCAATGGTAGAAACCTTGCAGAAGAGCTCTGTGGGGATAGGGACAGGGGGATGCAGCGTTCAGGTTGCTCCCTGGTCTTCGCGGATGCAGTGGGTCAGGCCGGGATCCCTCATTCACCTCCTGGCCTTTTAATCCTGGTGGCATAGTAGAACCACTTGGAAAGCTTAAAAAACATGATGCTGGGCATCACCTCCAGAGATCCCGATTTTAGTAGTCTGGATGAGGCCTGAGCCTCGGTATTTGCACATAGCTAGCTCTTGTTGATTTAAATTTGCAAAGCAGATGGAAAGCTCTACACGTTTCTGCGCAGCAACTGAGTAAAAAAGCTAGTGGGTTGATTCCCAGTTCCTCAGGGGCTTGGAAGGGGCCCCCAATTCTGAGGATGAAACTGCTGACACTCCAGTGCGACCACAGTATCCCGTGAAGGAGGGAGAAAGTCCCTCTCCTAAAGAGGTGAAAGCCCTATTTCCAGCCTGAGGAGGAGGTGAACCTGTTAGCATTTGATAAGAGAGCAGGAATCTTCCAACAGCTCCCCTAGGGCTGGACCTTGGGAATAATGTCAGATGCCTGGTTCCCGACAACGTTTAGACTTGAAGATCCAGTGTTCCTAACACCAAAAGTTTAGTGGCTTTTCCACTTTTAACTACAATCTTTAGTTCTGAAGGGAATGAGAAACAACACCAATCCTGATAACTCTTCATTCCAGACCCTGCCTGCCATTTTTGCTTTCCTTTCCAATTCCATCAACAACCCCTACCTGCACACAACAAAGGTGGTTTCTGAAGTCAGGAGGTTGCTGTTATTTGCATTTATTTCCTGTTCTTTATCTCTCATGAACTGAGAGAGAGTGAAAGGGGGGTGTTGCAAGACATGGGAGTGTGCCTTCTAAACAGATAGCATGCTTCTGTCGTCTCCTGTCCTCTCTTTGTGTTCTCATCCTGATAGAATCTTGTTTGAAGATTGCAAAACTCCTTTCTACTTCCCTGAGCCAACTTCAGCCTATATTGTTAGCCTGGTGCTGTGAAAATGTTACTCTTTGCTATTATCAACATCTGACTCTGACAGCTAATCTGCACCCCCAGTGTAGGCTCTTGGAATTTTTCTATAGCTTCTTTTCTAGGGCTGAGACACCCATATTGGTCTTTTAGGGACAATGCACCTAGCAGGAAAACTTGATTGAGTGAACCTAGGAAGACAGTGACACTGGCCTGGGCCTTAGATAAGCAGGACTTAGTGAAATTGTGGAAGGGGATGTATGGTGAACTTAGAAATGCTGAGATTTTTAGTCAAAACCAATTTTGAATTTTGGCCAGTGGGCATGGTAATACCAACTCTTGGCTGGCTGTGGGACTTAAATGCAAAAGGAACAGAAAGTGTCATAGAAGACTCTCGATAAACAATAGCTATTATTGGGTTTCCTGGGTAAAAGTGTCATATGGGTGCTGGGAACTGAACCTAGGTCTTCTGCAAGGACTTCAGAGCTGTGTGACTCTGGGTCAGTTATTTAACCTTCAGAGCCTTGGTTTCTTCTATAAAATGTGGATGGCAGTAGTAAGGATTCATGATGGTGGAGGTAGAAGCTAGGCCTGTCCTAAATCTAAATGCCTAAGAGCCAGCACATCTGACTCTATCCAGGGTATATTGGATAGAAGGCACCACATGAATGAAAATAGAGTTGACTTTTTAAAAAAAATTTGGGGGATGGCACATGAGAAGGACTCGGATGTTGCAGGCAGCGAGGGATATCCATATTGGATACTGTAATGACAACTTTAGTCAGCCTACTGTGGGAGCATACACTTGTAGGTGCCAGCACTGGGGAAGTTGAGGCAGGAGGATTGTCACAATTTCCAGTCCAGCCAAAGCTACATAAAGAGGTCTTGTTTCAAAAAACAAACAAAAAGACTTTAGTTGTATATTTCTCAGAGGGGTCCCTAACTGATTTTGTTTTTTTGAGATAGGGTCTCCCTGTAGCCCCTAGCTGACCTGGAGCTTGCTGTGTAGGCCAGGCTGACCTTGAACTCACAGAGATCTGCTTGCCTCTGCCTCCCCAGTACTGGGATTAAAGGTGTATGCCACAATGCCTGGCCCAAAATGATTATTTTTATCTTTTTTTTTTAAAAGATTTTTAAAATTTATTTTTATTTTATGTGTATGAGAGTTATGCTTATATGTAAGTGCACCCATGTTGTGCAGTGCCCAAGGAGTACAGAAGAGGGTTTGGATCCCCTGGAACTGGAGTTACACACAGTTGTGAGCTGCCATATAGGTGCTGAGAACTGAACCTAGGTTCTCTGCAAGAACAACCAGTGCTCTTAATCGCTGAGTCATCACTCTAGCCCCCTAACTGATAAAAAAAAAAAATTCTTTTTGAAGGGCTTGAGTGATGGCTCAGCAAGTAAGAGCACTGGCTGTTCTTATAGAGGACCTGGGTTCAGTTTCCAGGTGTCTCATAACCATGCATAACTCTATAACTCCAGGGGATCTGATGCCCTCTCTGACCTCCATAGGCATTGTATCCATGTGATACACTTGCATGCAGGCAAAACACTCATACACATAAAATTAAATAAAAATTAAAATGAAAAAAAAATGTTTTGAGTCAAGGTCTTACTATTTAGCTCTGGCTGGCTTGGAATTCACTCTGTAGACCAGGCTGGCCTCAGATTCACAGAGACTGGCTTGCTTCTGCCTCTCAGGTGCTAGGATTAAAAATTTGTACCACCACACCTGAGTTGATTTTATTTTATTGTTTTTTTTTTATTTTTTTATTTTTTTATTTTTTTTTGTCTTTTTGAAGCAGGGTCTCCCTGTAGCCCCAGCTGTCTTGGAACTCACTATGTAGACCAGGCTGGCCTTGAACTCCAGAGATCTGCCTGCCTCTGCCTCCCAAGTGGTGGGATTACAGATGTGTGCCACCACACCTGGCTTATTATTTTTTGTGTGTGTATGTATGTATCTGTATGTGTTAGGGTGCACCTCTGGAAGTCAGATGTTTGTGGGCATATTTTTTTTGTTGTTGGGTTTTTTTTGGTCTTTTTTTTTTTTTTTTTTTTTCTTTTTTTTTTTTTTTTTTTTCTCTTTCTTTCTTTTTCAGAGCTGAGGACCAAACCCAGGGCCTTGTGCTTGCTAGGCAAGCACTCTACCACTGAGCTAAAGCCCCAATCCCGCATCTTCTACTTTTTAAAATATTTATTATTTTTTATTTTATGTGTATGCATGTACTGCCTGCATGTAGGTAAGTGCACCCATGTCATGCAATGCCCGAGGAGGACAGAAGAGGCCATTGGAGCTTCTGGAACTGGAGTTACAGATAGTTGTTAGCTGCCATGTGGGTGCTAGGATTTGAACCTGGGTCTTCTGTAAGAACAGCCAGTGTTCTTAACTGCTAAGCCATCTCTCCAGCCCAGGCATCTTCTACTTTTACTGAGTTCCATGGATCTAAACAATCTCAGATCGTTAGGGTTAGGCAGTGAGCACTTTTACCTTGGAAACCTAATAATAGCTATTGTTTATCCAGAGTCTTCTGTGGTGCTTTCTGTTCCTTTTGCATTTAAGCCCCACAGCCAGCTAGGAGTTGGTATTACCATCCCCACTAGCCAAGGGAGAGAGAGTAGCTGGCCCAAGGCCACCAAGTGGAACTATTCCCTGGACAGGTACCCTCCAGCTCTTATGCAAGGTGAGATTGGTTGCAGGTTACTGCCTACAGGTTACAGGATATGCAGTTTATGCAACTAGGCTGCTGTGAGCTTTGTGCTGTTTCCTGGGAGAGGTGGGGCCTCAGTTCTTCTGTGGGGTGGGTTGAGGGTGGGGAGACCAGTGGGGGAAGGCTGTTTGCTGCTGGAGGAGCAGAATCTGGAGGAGGAAAAACACTGGCTGAAGAGCACTACTACACCCTCCTCCAGCTGCCTCTCCAGGGCCACCTCACCTGTTCAATAACTTTGCCTCCAGCAGAGGACTGTGATGGGAGTATCTCTGGTGTGTGTTCCTGCTCTTTGCAGGCCTCTTCTTTTGCCTCCCTCCTGTGCCTGTCTTTTTCTCTAATTCCTTTGGGGTCATGAATACCAGGATAGTCCCCTGCTCTCACTTGATCTTTAAGAAAAAGCTAGACTTGGGAGGCAGAAGCACGTGGATCTCTGTGAGTTTCAGGCCTGCCTGGTCTATATAGTTCTAGGCCAGTCAGGGCTACATAGTGAGACCCTGTCTCAAAGAAGAAAGAAAGAAAGAAGAGAGAAAGGGGGGAGAGAGAGAGAGAGCGAGAGAGAGCGAGCGCGAGAGAGAGAGAGATAAACTAGTTTTCTAGCATCTTCCTTGTGCCTGCTATGGTACTCTGGGTTTCCTGGGTATTGGTTTGATGTTTGTTGTGTTCCTATGAAGACAGCCCATATTTCCTCATTTTGCAGGTGAAGAAATCAAAGCTCTGTAGGAGTAAATGACCTGAGGTACAACTGTAGGAAGAAGCAGTTGGGATTTGAACCCATGTCTTTCAAATGGCAAAAGTCATGCCCTCTCTATTTCACCACTCTTTGAGGTCTTCTACCCTTGCCTCAGCAAGGAAGTCAGCTGGTAGAGGCTGATGATCTTGTGTGTGTGTGTGTGTATGGCTATTCACCTTTTCCAGTGTGATAAGGGCAAGTCATAGAGTTAGGAGTGGCATTTGACAAAGGCTATGGAGTTGAACAGAGGGGTTCTGAGAGTGGTGAGGTAACAGTGACCTGAATTATGGATAGTAATGGAGGTATACCTCTTGCTTTGTGGCCCCAAAGCCCCTGAGTGGCATCTTGTTTAATCCTCACTCATTCCCATGTGGTATCTGTGGGACCTCCGCTTTGCAGCAGCTCAGAGATTGCCAGTAGCCACTGTCTCTCAAGTTTTGGCACTCACCACACTTTCTGTGCTCAGGGCTGCAGAGTATTTCTTTTTTTATGTTTTCTTTTTTACATTTATCTGTTTGGGTGTATGTGTGTTTGTGCACGTGTGCTTGTAGAGGTCAGAGGACAACAGTTCTGAACTTCAGTTATGTGGGTCTGAGGATTGAACTGAGGTCATCAGCTTGATGGCAAGTGCTTTTCCCTGCTGGGCCATTTCACTGGCCCTAGTTTGTTAAGGTTTTTTTTTTTTTTTTTTTTTTGAGACAGTGCCTCCCTGTAGCCCTAGCTGGTCTGGAACTCACTATCTATACCAGGTTGGCTTCTATCTCAGAGAGCTCCACCTGCCTCTGCCTCCCAAGTACATGTATTAAAGGCATGCCACCACACCTGGCTGGTTTGTTATTTTATCTTATTTTTTGGATTGGAAAAATGGCTCAGCAGTTAAGAGTACTAGCTGCTCTTGCAGAGGACCTGGGTTCAGTTCCCAACTGTCTGTAACTCCAGTTCCAGGGGATACAATGCCCTCTTCTGGACTCCTTGGGCACCACACACATGTGGTGCATATAAATACATGCAGGAAAAGACTCATACACATAAATAAATCTTTTTTTTTTTTTTTGGTCTTTTTGAGACAGGGTCTCCCTGTATCCCCAGCTGTCCTGGAACTCACTGTGTAGATCAGGCTGGCCTTGAACTCACAGAGATCCGCCTGCATCTGCCTCCCGAGTGCTGGGATTAATGGCCTGCACCACCATGCCCGGCACATAAATAAATCTTTAAAAACAATTTTTTAAAATTTAAATTATGTGTATGTTCATGTGTCCATATATGAATAGGTACTGGTGGAGGTAAGAGGCATCAGATCTGGAGCTGGAGTTACAGCAGTTGTGAGCTGTCAGTGGTGGGTGCTGGGAACTGAACTCAGGTTCTCTACAAGAACAGTAATAGTCTTCTTAATTGCTGAAGCATCTCTCCAGTCCCTTGTTTATTTTTTTTGAGACAAGGTCACATGTAACCTAGGCTGGCCTCAAAATCACTATGTAATTAAGGATGACCTTGACGTTTTGATTGTCTAGCTTCCACCTCCTGAGTGCTGGGATTATAGATTTATACTATTATAACAGGTTTATGGTGCTAGGGATCAAACCCAGGGCTTCAGGCAAACTAGGCAAGTGCTCGATCACTGAACTACATCCCCAGGCTTCTTTTTACTTTTTTAAAAAATATTTTTATTATTTTTATTTTATGTGTATGAGTGTATTTCCTGCATGTATGTGAGTTTACCCGTGTTGTGCAACGCCACAGAGGTCAGAAGAGGGCTTCAGATTCCCCTGGAACTGAAGTTAAGGAAGGTTTGTAGCCTCCATGTGGGTGCTGGGAATTGAACCCTGGTCCTCTGCAAGAGCAGTCAGTTCCCTTAACCACTGAGCCATCTCTCCAGCCCCTCTTTTTACTTTCTCATCTCAGTAAATTGCTTAGGCTGGCCATGAATGGTCAATCCTCCCACCTTAGCCTCCTATGAGCATCCATGGTTACAGGCTTGCACCACTAGGTACAATGGAGTAGGAAAATGTTCTTGTTGCTGTGATGGTTTTTAAGCATGGGGGATGTAGGTGGGAACTGTCCTTTCCATGGGAGGAACCAGTAAGAACAAAGGCCTAGTCAGAGCAGGCTGAGTCATGGGGCCCAGGCAGGCCCTTGGAGGCACTGCTCTTTCTCTTGGACTAGGGCAGAGGGATACAGGATTTGCCTTGTAGGGGAAAAATGTGTGCAACCCTGAGTCATGCAAGCTTGAGATGAGGGTCACAGGCTGTCTGAGACTCTCCCTCAGTGAATTCAAATCTGTTGCTCTTTTGTTGGGTGACATTGACCAAGTTCTTCAGCATTTCTAAATTTAGGATTGTTCTAAAAGATCATAATAGTGCTATTAACTTCATGGGGATTTTATTAGATGTTAACTATACCACTACCAACATCCATTTATTGAGCTTTTCTTCTTTTTCCCCTCCCTCTGTCCCTCTCTCCTCTCTCTCTCTCTTTCATGACAAAGTTTCATCATATAACCAAGGCTTGCCTGGAGCTCACTATGTAACCCAGGCTGACCTTGAATTAGTGATCCTCCTCTTTCAGCCTTACCAGTGCTGGGATTACAAGTGTGTGTCATCACAGCTGGTTTATTGAGCACTTTCTGTGAGATACCTCATTTAATCTTTATGTTCTTTTCCAGAGTAGGTGTAACCATTCCCTTTTACCTTTTTCAGAAAAAGAAACTAAGACTTGGGCTAACTCTCCCCAGGTGGTCCTATAAGTGTATTGTGTGCCTAAGCCCAAAGTTACCATGTCTAGACCATTAAGGTTGTACAATGTGCATGTAAGAAGATACTAAACATGCAGCTCAAGCACATGGCCTGGTCCAATACTTGGCTGCCCACCTTTTCTTCCCATGGGCTTTCTCAGTTTCCTTGAGTAACTCTAGAATAGTAGCATCTAGCTTGGATTGCTTCCACTGTACTTCAGTGGTGATTCCCTAGTTTTGTTTTACATGCAAATTTCTTCCAAAGTGCTGGCGCACACCTTTAATCCCAGCACTCGGGAGGCAGAGGCAGGTGAATCTCTGTGAGTTCAAGGCCAGCCTGGTCTACATAATGAGTTCCAGGACAGCTGGGGCTACAGGGAGATCCTGTCTCAAAAAAGACAAAAAGTTTCAGGTTTTTTTTTTTTGTTTGTTTGTTTGTTTTTCAGTGTCAGGGACTAAACCCAGAAGTATGCTACCACTGAGGTACAGTCCCCAGCTTGGAAATGAGTTATTTTATTTTTTTAAAGAATTAATATTTGTTGGGTGTGGTGGCACATGCCTTTAATCCCAGCACTTGGGAGGCAGAGGCAGACGGATCTCTGTGAGTTTGAGGCCAGCCTGGTCTACATAGCGAGCTCCAGGCCAAGCCAACTGGAGCTACAGGGAGACCCTGTCTCAAAAAAAAAAAAGATATATTTTCCATGCTTGCCTGGTGCCTGCAGAGACCAGAAGAGGGCTATGAGGGTTATGAGTTACCATGTGGGTACTAGGAACTGAACATGGGCCCTCTGCAAGAGGAGCAAGTGCCCTTAACCACCAAGCCATCTCTCTAGCCCTATTCTATTTTAATTTATAGAAACGAGTTACTAAAGGACTGAGATAATTGGACTGAGCAGGGCTAACTCTGACCCTTATTGCTAACTGGCTCCTTCTTCTCTAGGGACAGCAATGGCCAGACTGCCCATGGCTATGAGCCCTCAATGCTCCTGGGGCTGAGGCTCAGCCAACAGCCATGGGGCTGAACTGGCCCCAAGTCTGGTTGTTGGGCCTGCCCACAGCCATGGTCTATGGTTCCTTGGCTCTCTTCACCTCCATCCTGCACAATGTGTTCCTGCTCTACTATGTGGATACCTTTGTCTCTGTGTACAAGATCAACAAAGTGTCCTTCTGGGTTGGAGAGGTAGGCTAAGCATGGGGCAGCCAGGTGGGGTAGGAGACTACAGCATGCATGGATGGCCAGGCAGACAGAAGGTGCTGGGTCCTGCCCAGTCAGGCACTTGGGACAGGCTGTGTTGTCCACCAAGACTTGGTCAAAAAGCTGGTGGGGGCTTTGGTGACTCCTCAGGGGATAACAGCAACTCTTCTGGCCACTATCTTAGATATTTACTGTCTGTATATTCATATACAATGTAATTCAAGCACCTATATGCATTAATCAGCTGAATACACTTACCAGCTACCCTGGGTGACTGAGGTTTGATGGGTGTACCACCCAGGACAGTGGCTTTAGCAGAGGAACTTCCATTAGCCAGGTGTGAGGGTGCACGCCTTTAATCCCAGTACTCTGGAGGCAGAGGCAGGTGGATCTCTGTGAGTTTGAGGCCGGCCTGGTCTCCATATTGAATCCAGGCTGGCTGTGGCTACAGGGAGACCCTGTCTCAAAAAGACCAAAAAAAAAGAGGAAGTTTTATGAACAATGAGCCAGGAAGCACCAGCCATCTTCAAGGATGGTGTGTAGACTAGGGGAGGGAGCTCAGTATAGCCCACCTGCCCATCGCCCTCTACCTGCAGACGGTGTTTCTCCTCTGGAACAGTTTCAACGACCCCCTCTTCGGCTGGCTCAGTGACCGCCATTTCCTCAGCTCCCAGCAACGGTGTGTGTCTTGGGGATGGTGCATCAATACTCTAGTCCCACCCTGCTGTTCCCCAGGACTGGAGGACCTCTCCTCATCTTTGGGGTGGAGAAAGTAAGGGATGCCAGTTGTGGTATAGGACACAGTCCTACTCCCTTCCCAGGGCCCTTCCTTGCCTACCAGGGGTAGAGATCAACCCCAGGTTGGCTTGGGTGGCTACTAAAGTTCTGTACTACAAATTCCTTATGTTGCTTCTGGTAGATTCCCTTACCCCTCTCTGCTTGGGCTCATCACTCCTAACCCTAATCCCACTGCCCTTTGACTATCAGCCCTGATGGACTGGTGATAGGAAGATGGGGGCTCAAGAGAGGGTGCACTCACTGGTGAGCTGTGCTTAAGTCTCAAGTTGGAGGCTAGAGACTTCGGGCTTATCCAGGTGTGAATCCTCACCTTGGCTTCCATCCCTTCTCCTGGGCCTGGGTAGGGGAACTAGGGCCTGCTTAGGCCAATAAATTACCTCTCAACACCTTCCTCTCCCTGACAGGTCAGGTGCTGGGCTCTCCTCCAGAGCTGTGGTGCTGACCCGGGTGCGGGCTCTGGGCTGGCATGGGCCACTGCTGGCACTGTCATTCCTGGCATTCTGGGTACCCTGGGCCCCAGCTGGCTTGCAGTTCTTGCTGTGCCTGTGTCTTTATGATGGCTTCCTGACACTTGTGGACCTACACCATCATGCCTTGCTGGCCGATCTGGCTCTCTCAGCCCATGACCGCACCCACCTCAACTTCTACTGCTCCCTCTTCAGTGCAGCTGGATCCCTATCTGTCTTTGCCTCCTATGTCTTCTGGAACAAGGAGGACTTTTCCTCTTTCCGTGCCTTCTGTGTGGCATTGGCTGCTGGATCTGGGCTGGGCTTTCTAGGGGCCACGCAATTGCTGAGGCGACGGGTTGAGACAACCAGAAGGGACCGGGGCTACCCAGCCCTGGTCATGGATGGTGGGTAAGTGGTCAGTCCTGGCTCTCCTCAGGCTCTGAGCATGACTTTAATACTTGGTCTCTTGACCCACTTAGGCCTAACCCTAGAAGTCTTCTACCCTGTTCTGCCCCACAGCCTTGGTGAAGAGGAGCCACTGGTAGGTGCTGAGGAGGCAGGGAGTGTCACCCTGGGCCAGTACCTCCAGCAGCTGGCACGCCACCAAAACTTCCTGTGGTTTGTGGGCATGGACCTGGTGCAGGTACTGGGAGCCATCCCTTCTCCCCTCTCTCAAGGGTATTTCAAGAGCTGGGTGTTCAAGAAGGCTGCCTAAGATTTGATGGCAGAAGCCAACATTAGGAAGTTAGACCTCAGTTCTAATACTTTCTGTACTCTGTACTCCCTCTACCGCTCCACCTGCCCTGTGGTGCTGAGGGTTGAACCCAGGGCCTTGTATACTGCTAGGTCATTACACTACCACTGAGCTACACTTCTGGCTCTCCCTTGTGTCATCTTATGCATTTTTTACTTCTGAGAATGACCTTGTCTTCATCTATAAAGTGAGGACTGAAATAGATACCCCTTACGAGGATTCTGTGACAATCTTTTTACTTTTATTTTTTTTAATTAATTTTTTGTCTTTTTGAGACAGGGTCTCCCTGTAGCCCCAGCTGTTCTGGAGCTCACTATGTAGACCAGGCTGGCCTCAAACCCACAAAGATCTGCCTGCCTCTGCCTCCCCAGTGCTGGGATTAAAGGCATGCGCCACCACACCCGGCTATTTTTTATTTTTTAATTTTGGCCTTTTTGAGGCAGGGTCTCCCTGTAGTCCCAGCTGTCCTGGAACTCATTATGTAGACCAGGCTGGCCTTGAACTCACAAAGGTCTGCCTGCCTCTGCCTCCTAAGTGCTGGGATTAAATGTGTGCACCACCACACTTGGCTGGCTTTCTTTCCTTTCTTTTTCTTTGTCTCTTTCTCTTTTTTTTTAATTTTTAAAAATATTTTTATCTATTATTTTTATTTTATGTGCATGAGTGTATTGCCTGCATGTATGTGAGCTGGTGTTGTGAAATGCTCACAGAGGTCAGAAGAGGGCATTGGATCACCCTGGGACTGGAGTTACAAATGAATGTTAGCTGCCATGTAGGTGCAAAGAGCAGTCAGTGCTCTTAACTTCTAAGCCATCTCTCCAGCCCCTCTTTCTCTTTCTTTACTTCTTTCTCTTTCTTTCTTTCTTTCTTTGCCTATGAAGTCTAATTTGTGTTCCCCAAATACTCTTGGGTGTGGGTCCATTTCCTGGGGCCTGGTCAACCTACCCATCACATCCTTAAAGAAGATGATTTCCCCTCTTCCAGCAACTGTCAATTGCCAATAGTTCCTCAACTAGGGCTGTGGCTTCTTGCCCACCTCCAGCTTCCATGCTGAGGTTTTGTCTGGCCAGGGCTTGTGCAGCTCTTGTGCATGCTATGTGAAAATCTTCTTAAAACACCAGATGTTACACCTAAAACATAGGTAGCCAAACTTAAAAATAAACTTTTTATGTCATGAAACTTGTTTTACTACTTTCAATTAAAAAAACTTGTTTCAATGGCTGTTTTACCATGTCTTCTAACTTTTAGTAAAATTAGATAGGCAATGAGGAATGTTGATTTAGGTTTGTTCTGGCATGTCAGGGCCAGAGGGACAGAGGCCAGGGCTCTGTCCTCTTGCTGCTCTGAGAATCAGGGCTGCTGTCCCCTTGGCCTGTGGCTCTGTTGGGGCCCCTCTTCAGTGTTCTGTCTTGCAGGTGTTTCACTGCCACTTCAACAGCAATTTCTTCCCCCTTTTCCTGGAGCACCTGTTGTCAGACCACCTCTCCCTCTCCACTGGCTCCTTCCTGTTGGGTAAGTGGGTCCTCAGGCAGGAAGGTTGCACCACCTACTCCTGTTTTCCTGTGGTGGAGGCTTAGTGACCCTCACATCCTCTTGGTGCTGGTGCCACCCAGAGGCCATGTGATGCAGTGCAGTGGCTGGTGTGTAGTGAGCTGAAGTTTCATAGCTGGGGTGTGCTCATTCATTTGCTGAGTGAACTTGGGTGGGATTTTTGTTTTTGTTTTTTTGAGAAAGGGTCTCCCTGTAGCCCCAACTGGTTTGGAACTTGCTATGTAAACCAGGCTGGCCTCTGCCTTCTGAGTGCTGGGATTTGCTGAGCCACTCTCATTTGTAAAGTAAGGATAATAATAATAATAGTATAATTGGTACACCATATCTGTGCATTCCATATACATGGACTCAACCAAACACAAATCAAAAGTATTAGGAAAAAAAATTGTGCCTGCATTAAACATGTATAGTATTTAAAAAAAACATTTATTTACTGTGTGTAGTGGGATGTGGATGCATAAGCGCAACAGTGAGTGTGTGGAGGTCAAAGGACAACGTGAGCCCTGGGATTGACCTTAGGTTGTTAGGCTTAGTGGCAAGCATCTTTGCCCACTGAGCCATCTTGCCTTTTCCCCCCTTCTTGTCATTGTCTCCTAAATAATGCAGTATAATTACTTACATTAGCACTTACATGGAATTGGGTATTATGAGTAATCCAGAAGATTTAGGCCAGGCATGGTAGTGCACGCCTTTAATCCCAGTACTTGGGAGGCAGAGGCAGGTGGATCTCTGTGAGTTTGAGGCTAGCCTCATTTACATAGTGAATTCCAGGCCAGCCAGGGCTACATAGTAAGACCCTGTCAAGAAAGAAAGAAAGAAAGAGAGAAAGAGAGAAAGAGAGAGAGAAAAAGAAAAAGAAAGAAAGAAAGAAAGAAAAGAAAGAAAGAAAGAAAGAAAGAAAGAAAGAAAGAAAGAAGAAAGAAAGAAAGAAAGAAAGAAAGAAAGAAAGAAAGAAAGAAAGAAAGAAAGAAAAGAAACCCCAAAATGATCAGTAGGCTAGGCATAGTGGCACACACCTATAATTGCAGCACTCTGGAGACTAAGTGGAAGGACTGTCGAAAGTTTGATGCTATCCTGGGGCTCAAAACAACAAAAACAAACAACAACAAGAAGAAACAACCCCCAAGACCTAACAACAAATGAGGGCGGGGGAAGCATATGAGAGTGCTTCCTAGCATGGATGAAATTGCTGGGCTAGATCACCAGCACCATATAAACAGGGCATGATGGTACACACCTGTAATCGAAGTACTCAGGAGGTGTGGGCAGGTGGATCAGGAGTTCTAGGCCATCTTGGACTAGATGACACTGTCTCAAAAAAATAAAAATAAAAATAATATTATATGGGAGTATTACATATATCCTCTCCAGTCATTATGCCATTTTATATACAGTGCTTGAACATCTATAGATTTTTGCTATCCCTGAGGGGTACTGGAACCAATCCCCCCAAGAGATTATGGTACTTTGAAGGGCTTGTGAAGATTAACATGCTCTCTTAGCACAGAGCACAGGGCATTGTTGGTGTACAAGTAATGCAAGTTGTGCCAGGCATGGTGGTGCACACTTTTAATCCCAGCACTTGGGAGAGGCAGAGGCAGGTGGATCTCTGTGAGTTTGAGGTCAGCCAGTTCTCCATAGTGACATAGTGAGTTCCAGGCAGCTGGGGATACAGAGAGAGCCTGTCTCAAAAAGACCAAAAAAAAAAAAAGAAAGAAAAAAAAATTACAACTAATACAAATTGTGATTCTAATCGTTGCCAATCACTGTTGAGGCTGTGGCTTTGCTTCTGAAGAGGTGGGACCCTCTTCCCTCCCCAGGCATCTCCTATGTTGCTCCTCATCTCAACAACCTCTACTTCCTGTCCCTGTGTCGGCACTGGGGCGTCTACGCAGTGGTGCGGGGGCTCTTCCTGCTCAAGCTAGGCCTTAGCCTGCTCATGCTGTTGGCTGGTCCGGACCACCCTGGCCTGCTTTGCTTCTTCATTGCAAGGTATGCCCTGCCCACCCTTGACCCCACACCTCTGTCCTAACCTCCCTCACTCTCACTTCTCTTTCTACTGGCAGCAATCGTGTCTTCACTGAGGGTACTTGTAAGCTGCTGACCCTGGTGGTCACTGACCTGGTAGATGAGGACCTGGTTCTGAACCACCGAAAACAGGCAGCTTCAGCACTTCTCTTTGGCATGGTTGCCCTGGTGACTAAACCAGGCCAGACCTTTGCCCCATTGCTTGGTACCTGGCTGCTCTGCTTCTACACAGGTGAGGTTTAGGGGATATAGGCACCAGCTGGTAAGCCTGGCTCTGGGTCTAGTGAGGGAATCACTAGTCGGCTGTGAGCTAGGACAGGGCTGCCTTGGGCTGATAACCTTTGTTGTCTTTTTCCCACGTGAGTAGAGGAACTAGGTCTCACATTCCTCCATTTTTTTCCCTCTAAATTCGTGTTCATTCAACACATCAGCATAGACTCTGTGGGGTGTGCTCTAGGTTCTAGGGAGGTGACAGTGGTCAGACAGAAGAGGTCTTTGCTTATAGTCAAGGAGAGGGGTGGGATTGACATTTGTCAGCAAACCAAAGAAAATATGTGGTAGTTGAGTGTTGTGCTAAAATAGGTGAGGAAAGCTAAGGATATAGCTCAGTGATAGGGTTTGCCTAGCATGGATGAGGCCATTGGTTTGATCTCTGGTACAGCAAACAACAAACAAAAAATGGAGATGTGAGAAGCTTGGTTCCTCTAAGGTGACCCTCAGGGTGTGGTCTGAATGCCAAGGGTTTTGTCTGGTTTCAGGGAATCATCGGCAGAGGGAACAGTGAATGCCATGACCCCGTTTTTTTTTTAGATGAGGCTGGAAAAGTGAGGAGGGCTTTGTAGATCAGGTTAGCATCTGAATTGGACTTTTTACTGCCCCCAAAAGCTGTTTGGAGCATTACAGGGAATGCTGGAAAATGACATGGTCTGATTGAGGTTCTGAAAAAGTTCATTCTGGCTGCCCTGTGGATGACAGATTGAATTTAGAGAGGTCAGTGTGTGTGTGGGGGGGGGGGTAGATACTAAGGAGATAGTGGCAGAGGTATGGGAGCTTTGACTAAGGTGGTGGTAGATGGGATACATTTTAGAATTGAAGGAATGACAGTTAACTGATAGAGGGAGGCTTGGAGAATGGGCTGGGGGCAGATATTAAGAGATATGATTAAGAGATATGGCTGGAGGACTAGAGAGATGGCTTAGAGGTTAAGAGCCATGTACTGCTCTTCTGGAAGACCAGAGTTCAGTTACCAGCAACTATTTCAAATGGCTTATAACTACCTGTACTCTAGCTCCTGGGGGATCCTATGCCTCTGGTTTCCTCAGACACCTTCACTCATGTGCACATGCTCACAAACACACACATATGCACAGTATCTATCTATCTATCTATCTATCTATCTATCTATCTATCTATCTA